TGAACTGCGAGCCTTTCATGCAACTTTCGAGCGTTTTTGGTAGTTATATATTTGGGACAAATTCGTTGGTCGATCTTGACATCACGTATCATTTTTGGATTGTTTTATAGGTCTCTGATGCTGATTTTGAACGTATGTTTGACGATCGAGCCAAATTGGAGACTGTTCGGCAGTTCCCGGAAATTCCTCTTCTTATGTCATTTGTTCACGTGGCCATATGGGTTTATTCTCACCTTTGCAACATCTGGGCACCCTCCTTACCCAATTCAGAACTTAGGACCAGGTGCGAGAGGATGTTCGCATAAGAATACAGTCAAGAGATTTGGTTAACGGAATGAATTATATTGTCAACCGAGTCGAGCTCCGCCGTAAGAAAAACAATTTACGCGTGCATATTTAAAGTTATACCAACAAAAGTTTGCGCCGGCTGAGTAAATTTGCTTCGTCGTTCCGTTCGCGCATAACTGTTAGTCGATCGCGCACATTTCTCTTGTTTTCCCGCATCTCATTGGTCCGCAAAATCTGAAAGTTTTGGTCGAGGCAGTCTAGAAATAACCACTTTGGGTCGCGATAGTCAGGAAAAACCGATACTCGGTCACGGTTATCTGAACATAAAACAGACCTCGATCCACGAAATAAAAAGTTCCGACCGAGAACGCATATATTTGTTTTTCGAAAGCCACAGAATAGATATACTTCATGTATCGTGCTGTTTCTTAAAGCTTCATCATTTCGATTTGTTAGGAAGAGGTTGTATTTTCTCATAAGGGCTGCAAGTTTTTTTTGAGAATTGAAAAACTGTAATCAAAATTTAAAAATGGTAACTTTTTAAGAGTGCAATTTGCGGTTCAGATAATATTACGTCTTTCTGTAACAGGGCAAAGCCCTGCATACTTCGACCGCCTTTTCCGTCGATAAGAAAAACTGGTTAAAAATTGTATCAACGGTACAGTTCCCAATCGCTTCAGATAGGAATAAATAAAGTTTTTCGCAGCAACAAATTTCAGGAGAACATCATTACAACATCAAAAGACACTAAAAATAGCCGGTTGCTGTGCAAGATTCAAGAACTGATCCGACCACATTCATAAAAAAACTACAAAATGGTTTTTCCTTTTTTTCTTCTGATTAGTCAAGTTTTTAATCCGTGGTGTGAATATAGAACTTCAGCTATCGTTAAAAGTATGAACACTAGGCATAATTGACAAAATTTTTCATCAAAAATGAATTTTAAACAAATAAAAATAAGACTGCTTGTATCAGGGCAAAGAGCCTTGAATGTTTGGACAGTGTTTTAAGGTCTATGAAGCAGTGTTCACCTTAAAAAAATGAAGCAGTGTTCATCTTAAAAAATTGAAGCAGTGTTCAAAAAAATAGAAAAAAAAATCAAACTTTAGTTTTTTTAAGCATCCCCCCACACGCCATATAAAGTACAAAGTGGTAGATTTTGCATCTAGTAACGTAGAATTATGACAAATAGCCTGTTTCAACCAATTTGGAACGTGTTCTATGAGGGAATAAACCTCCGCTTATGCGTTAATAGCGCGAAATATATCGCGCGTTAATTTCCCTAATTGGCCAAAGAGGCAATCTTTAAACCCCCATAACTTTAGGAAAATTACCCACAGGTAAAATATCTTTTCTAATTTGACCTCAGGACAACAATATTTTTTGCCTGAAAAAGAAGTTGTCAAAAATTCTTAAATAAAAAGTCGAAACTTGTCTGAAGAAAAAAAAACCCACCCGATTACAAATATTCCGCCATTTGCGTAACAAAAATTGGAGCAAAAAAAAATTTGGGAAAACATTTTTCGAAGATTTCCCACTTTTTGCGCCACAAAAATAAAAAATAAAAAATATATTATTCACTTTGAGGGTTTTGTATGTCTTTTTTTGATAGCCACAAACCCCAATGATTTATCCGCCCATGCCCCATACACACTCATACACATGCTCTGTTATGTTGAAATTGATAGAGTCTGAATGTTTTTAAGGCCAACTCAAAAACTTTCGCTTTAAGAAATAGACAAAAACATCATTAAAAAACTTTATCAGTATATTTTTCCAATTCATACCCCCGCACGCAAATGTTAATGAGGCCAAACTGTTTATTTTGTGAATTTAAAGCGAATTCCGCAAAAAAAGGCTCTTTTTTCTATTTTTTGTTCATTTGTTTTGTTCGATCCTTCCGACAAAGTTTTAGCATTATCAAAGACTTGTCCCTGGATTGCACACACTTACACACACCAAATTTCTAGTCTATCTAGTGCACAATTCAGTCTCGTAATCATATATCGCGCCTTTGTTTTGCCAAGTTGGCCTAATTAGCAAATTTCAAACCCTCCATAATTCTATAAAAAGTAATCACAGGTGAAATTTTTGTTTACATTTAAGCTTCAGACATCATTTTTTTTGCGCGTTATAAAAAACTCGACAAAAACATTTAGTTAAGAATTGAAGGAAGATTGATTGGTTAAAAAACACCCCAACGTTAAATATTCCACATTTTCCTCGACAGACGGAACAACTATTTTTATAAATTATTGGTACAACAGTCTGTATCATTTTGAGCGTTAATTATACTAATTTGGCCCAAATAGCAGTTACCAAATTACACAATAATTGCAACTTAAAAAAAACTTTTGTGTGAAGTTTGAAAACAACGCTAAAATTTTTCGAATGATGTAGAAAAATTCCTTAATATTGATTAGCTAAAATTTCGAAATTCAAAAAGAAAAACCGCATCAAAATAATCTGTCCAACTCTTCGAAAGTCGGAAGATTGACAGAAATTTGTGCTCAGGAAAATTTTTGGCGGAAACTTGCTCAAACCTAAACAAATCATAACGAGAGTAAGAGAATAGGTAAGAAAGCTATTTCCTGATAGGCCTTTTTGTTGGAAAAAGCATTTAGTGTTCAAACTTTCGAATAAAATGACGCAATACTTGAGCTCGAGTCGTTTTTATTTTCGTCCAATCATTTGAGACTTTTTGCCTAGCCACTTTTGACCAGATTTATTTGATAACCTGAAAAAGAGTGACACCCTAAGTTGAAATGAAATTTTTTTTTGTAAAGTTGTATAATTAACGTGCGACATTTATTGACATTCAGCGTTGTTAATTCGTAACTAGGCGCTAAATTTTTCATATTGTTTTCACATAACGTATGAAGAGACATCTTTCACAGAACTATTTTTTTAGTCAACCAAACTGGAGACCTAACACGAAGGTTATTTATTTAGATTGGCAAGAGCTCATATAACCAGAACCCGTTAAGATATGACTATTACCTGCAAATTGCAGCGCACGTGCGATTTGATCCAGCAATCATATGATTGCTGGGCGCCATCACTACCGGAGCGGCACACTTTTTGTCGTGGAAATATTCATAAAGTTTAAACAACCCAGTACAAAGGAATATTTCAAAGATTAAAGTTTTCGATCCATTAACGGCTTCGCTTTAATACAAGCGGACTTCTTGCTCCTTTAAATCTATGTAGATTTAAAAATGGAGGATGTTATGATAGTCTTTATGCAACCCCATTTGCTGTTTGCCCGGTGAATCTGGAGGGTCTGTTTTTTAACTGAAAAGTCTTTGAAAAAAAGCGCTTGAACATCTTCTACTAGGCATGATGACGAGGGGGTGTCGTGGGAACTTCACCCACGAAATAAGAGACAATGGAACGAAGTGTCTAGTCACAGGTCTCGGTCGAACCCTCACGACAATCTACTACGCCAACTTAATTGTTGTAATGACAATAACCCTCACATTATTTTTGAAATCACTGCGGTTGGCTTACAAAAACTGGATCCAAGCTCGAGTAAAAAGCCAGAATCGAAACTTGCAATCATGTAACTCGGATCTTGGCGGACAAACTGCGATTGCCGATTGCTCTTTTCAAGTTCTGAAAACGATGATCAGACTTTCGATATCAGCGTTTTTATACACGTTCTCGCTTTCACCTTTGGTGGCTGTGAAAATGTACGAAATGTATTATGGGTTCAGTCGTCATAATACATTCCACGTGTTCATGATATTCTATCCACCCGTCTGTGGCGTAACTATAGGCAGGAGTCCAGAAAAAAATCAAATACATAAAAACTTAGTGCTTAAAGTTCTATCACAAAAATTTCTTTTAGTACATTTAGAAAACTAGTTATTACGGAAAAGCACTCAAACAACATATATACACAAGTAGGATCAAATAAAGCTAAGCTCTCAGACATGGCTCTACGTCTCTGAGAACAAAATACCTTCTGTATTTGCTTCACTAGTGTTTTGCTATTCCAAGTTAGAAGAACCCATAGGTGCTTCAAAGAACGTATTTAGCAAAAACTTGTGTTTTTTTTATGATCGAACGCTCCCCCATAAAAGTAGTATATACTAACGGTTTAAAAAATTAGGATATCATCCGTATCAAAACCAGATATCAGATCGGCAATATCAAGTGGGGAATCGTAAATAAGGAATCGTAAATGAGGCATAGGACTACAATTTGGTGGTGAAAATTATTGGTAGAGTCAAACGATTTCGAAATGAAACTAAAAACTCAAACTTAAATGATTTCTGAAAAATTAGATTTAATTCAAAACTCCTGCTCGCCTAGGAGCTCTCAATGTTTTATCATACGCCTATTTGAGTCCTGCTTTCCGACAAGAAGTTTGGAAGTTTTTCACCCGGATCATCAAGTGCAGCGACATCCGAGCACGTTTTCATACAGTTCCAAATGAGTCACGAAGAAGTGCTACGTTGCGACTTCTTGGAAATTCGATTTGGAACTCAATCGCAGTGGCAAAACAGGATATTTTTCGGTACGAGCAGGATTATGAGAAGTTTGAACTGCAGTCGACTAATCGCTGAGGAATTTACTATCAAAAATTTCTAACTTTACTATTCACACAAAAGAAATATAAAATGCCTTTAAGACTTTCTACCGATTCATAAAACTCTTTGAGAAGAAAGCAAGGAAAATCTGTGACACTTTCCATACTATGGAGTTCTATGAATAACCTTCATCCTTAGTTTATTGAAACACAGTCTTAAGCTACGAAGCATGCTATTCATAGATATAGATAGTATATAAAATTAGAGTAACATGTTTTCCTTCCATTCAACCAGGCACGGATCTAAAAATTTCTCGAGGGGGGGAGGGATGGCAGATTTTCAAAAAAAAACATTTGAAAATTTTGTCGAGCTAACTGATTTTCTGAGGTCTCTCAAATCACTATAAAGACCGTAATTTGGACAAAATTTTGTGCGCCGCAGACAAATTTTTGAAAAACGCCAAAAAGGGCACTTTTTGGAAAACTTTGGCCAAAAAATCGGTAATTAATTAGCATTTTCTGTTAAGTTTTAGCGTGTGTGGCGGCTTTGATCAATCCAAATTGAATTGAGGCAACTTTATAAATCCAATTCACTTGTTTTTTTTCGAGAAAACTATCAATTTAAACTTGCCATTGAGTGCAGGAGAAAAAATGAAAAAACAACAAAACTGACAAAAAATGGAAATTAATTTCTTTTTAATTTCATGATTTTTTCCTGACAAAACTACTGCATATACCTTAAAAGAAGTCGGAGCCTTCCAGATAACAAGATTTTGCGAGCAGTTTTTTTATTTAGTTTTTTTTCAATTTGCTTACAAACACATTAACCTTTATAATTGTAACATATGGTCCTAATCTTGAACAGTAGTACACTTGACGACACAATGTTCTTGTGACGCGAACTATTAAAAAAGCTCAAAATCTTATGACAGTTAAAGACGTTTTTCGTTCAGTCAAATAGCATTTAGCGTATTGGCCGGAAAATGGTACCAAGTTTTGGTATAAACTATTTTTATTGACGGTAGTAGAATTTCTAATAAATTAATAGTGATGCAAAACTAAACCGAATTCCTTATTAACTTGTTGAACGGAGAGCAAACTATTTTTGTCAGTGTCCTGCACTATTATGAAAAAACCATTCCTTTTGAATTCATTTCAACCACTGATGTTTGAAATTGACATGTCAAATCGACTCAAATGGTATTTATCAAACTGACTTAATTAATACTTTAGTCTGCTCTACTAGGAACTTCCATCTGAGATTCCAGGTAATTATCACGATTTTTAAACACTGTTAGCGGCTAGTCGAAGAGTTTTAAAATTCAGCAAGACTGCTCGTACATGAGGACGACAGATTGAATGTTCCGACCAGTAGCAGATTTTTTTTGGGGTGGGCAGGGGGGTTGGTTAATACTATTTTAGAGTGGGGAGCGCGCGCCAAAAAACACAAATTTTAAGGCCAATCAAATAGTTTTCGACCCCCTGCCGACCCAAAGGGTCCCCCCTTGTTACTTTTTAAGAAATCCATTTTTGGCCGACCGACCCTAAAATTTTTCTGAAGGCGCCTTGGGCGCCAATACATACTAATTTTGAGGGCGTAGCGCGCGCCGAAAAAACGCTATTTATTTGGTAAAAATTTTCCAAAAAGTGCCTAAAACGCCTTTTTTGGACTTTTTTTTTTTAAATTTTGCCTGCAGCGCAGAAAATTTGGCCAGAGCGAACTAAACCGTGCTAAAGGGAGAGCTCTAAAAATCAACTTGATCGACCTAAAAAAAGTCGACAAATTTTCAAAAAAGTTTTTTGAGAATCCACCCCCCCCCCCCCCCTCGAGAAAGTTGTAGATCCGCCCCTGATAACCGGTGATATTTAACGTCTCGTATCTTAACAATGGGTCAAATAATTTGCTTCGATTCAAAATGGAACGATTTAATTGACCGCATAAGCGTGTTATGAGAACGTTCATAACTAACGATTACGTCTCAAATGGCATAATTCCCATATGACATAAAAATGAAAAATTTCCCAAATGGCATAAATTTCATGCAACAGGTGCTTTGGAAAAATCGAGAACAATTTTTTCGTGATAAATGCGAGAAAATTAGTAGTCAAATTGTCAATTCAAATGTTGATTGACATTTTATCGTGAAAAAATTGTAGAACTTTTTATCAAAAGCAAGAAGCATAAGCTTGCGATTATTAATAAGCTTCTTGTGGTCAATTTTTTACGACAAATCTGTTGCTTAAATTTGTTTGGAAGCAATTAGTTCCAAATCTTGTTTACATGCTTTCGTTCCTGGCAAAATGATAGAAATAGAAATTGATAGAAAACGTTTAAATTACAATGAAAACTTGGAATTTATGCCATTTGGGAAAAGTTTCCATTTTTATGCCATTTGGGAATTATGCCATTTGGGAAGTTACCGTTCATAACAATATACTGTGCGTTAATTCTCCCAAATTAGCCAAATAAGACATTTATAAATCCATTAGCTTTAAGAAAACTATCACGGGTATAACTTTTCGCACATTTGACTCCAGAATAACACTATTTTTGAAATGGCATAAAAACTGTCCAAAAACTGCTAAGTTAAACAGTCAAAATTTGGCTGTATAAAACTCGCATTTAGAGACAGCTCGCAGTATGCTCACCACCGCAATCGCGCCAACGTGTTGCAAGCCTGTCAACAGAGTATGGGATTTTCTACGAAATTTACAAATTATTTAAGTTTAAAACTAGTTTTAAAACTTTGCGAGTTGTTTTTTGTTACGAGTTGTCTTTTTTACAAGTTTTTTTGTTTCGAGTTGTCGCGAAACCACACACATTATCCAAGCACAAATAGGGTTTTTTGCACTGAGCGGCGCAAAATCAGTATTTCTTCATCTTTCTTCTCAACTTACTCAACTTACTCTCTACCTGAACTTCAAAGCTCAAGGTCCTTGTGTGCAAGCAACCATTGAAGGGGGCAAAAATTAGATAAAAAGTGCAAAACTTTGACAATTTTTTCAATAGGGCAGCTTTAATCTACCCTGAAGTCCATCATTACGTGAAAGCAACAACGAGAAAAAATACGAAGTCATCAAGAGTATCTACCCTCAAGTATATATAGATACCAAATGCTTTCTATATATACGTTAGACAGCATTTGGTATCGATAACCGAGCAGTCACTTAGACGACATTTTTAAGTGGACAACCCTTCAGCCGAAAACGAACACAAAAAAAACACCACCAAAAAGGAAAAATTTGAACTATTATGTTTCGAAACTCGAAGTTATTACACCCTACCCTCCTGAAACAACAAAAGTCAATATATCATTATTCTTCAAACAACACATAATCAGCTAAAAGGTCGATATAACATCAGTCGAAACCATTTAAGCTGTAAAACAAACAGACAACGATAAAAAGTAATCTACAGAGAGTCGAGTTCATAAATTTACAACTAAAAAGGCAACCTGTAATTTCTTTTTAAAATTGTTTTAAAGCCCAAGAAAAATTCATACATTGTTGAAATAAGGCCTACAAAAAATAGGCGGGCAAATAATAGTCCGATTATTCGAACTTCCCAAGAAAAAATTCACAACGCGTCAAAAAACAGTATCGGATGGGAATTGGAAGGCCAAATTGATGGGAATGGGAATTATATGTTGGCGTGAATTAAAACGCCAAACTACCACGGCTAAAAGTGGCGTGAATGTTAATGATTTTTAGAATTTCAGCGATTGAACGTTGGCGTTGGGCTGACAAAGTTTACAAAATAAACCAAAAAAATCGTGTTAGCAATATTTAAACTCCAAATTTTACGAAAGTTTTTTTTAACCATGGTAACTGAGTCATCGAATAATTTTTGTGTTTTACTTGAGAAGCAACCTGGTGTCTTTTTTAACTTCTGTGTTGGTCTTAAGTCACGCGCTATTATGTATTTCAGGTCCTCTTTTGGGTCTCTGTTGAACCATTAAGTACCAGGCTGGACGTTAATTTTTTTCAATACCACTATACGGACCCCCAGAGATTTATTTTCCTACTTGTCATACGCATTATGCTCCGTGCCGTAAGAATTGGTGTTTTTGCAAGTTAATTAAATTATTCGAAAAGTCAGAGACCATTATTGTTTTAGCAGAATGCACCACTTGCATGTCAGACAAAGAACTAAAAAAAATTATGGAGCATATGCCATTTCGTTTGAAGCATTGTTGGATTAACGGGATTTGCATAAAACAATACACTGTCCCATTGTCGTCTTATCAAAATCATTGAAACTGCAAAGCACTAAAACTAACAACAAACAGCTTATTATTTATTATTTTTTGTGCGAAAGCTTAAATAGGGAGATTTATTTGGAAATCCTTTTGGTGCCATTCACTTACCTTATTTTTTAAAACATCCATTAGTGGGAAAAGATCCTTTTGCTTTCCCAAACCCTTTCAATTTTGATGATTATTGGTTTTCTTTCATGTTAAATTTATGCATGAGATTTTGTTCAAGAGTTTCGGAATCCCGTTAAAAACCTGCTATAGCTCCTTAATGCGTTTTTGTTCATCTAGCATTCCTCGTTATTTCGCTAATAAATCCCCTCGAGAATTCTCAACTTACTCTCTACCTGAACTTCAAGGCTCAAGGTCCTTGTGTGCAAGCAACCATTGTAGGGGGCAAAAATTAGATGAAAAGTGCGAAATTTTGACAATTTTTCCAATATGGCAGCTTTAGTTTACCCTCAAGTCCCTCAGTACGTGAAAGCAACAACGAGAAAAAATACGAAGATATCGAGAGTTGAAAACATCTTCAGCGCACCAATTAGCATACTCGAAAAATTGGCATACTATAAATCACCTTCATTTTTCATTGGCAATTCCTTCATTTTTCATTTAGAGCGCCGCAAATTTTATTGTCGCTTATTTTATTCCTTTATTTTTTCATAAGGCCCTTACTTAAAAATCTGCTATCTATCATTCTTTTCTTCAGTTATTTGGAAGGGTAAATTGGGCTAGCAAATAGAGTTATCAAAAAGAGTTATCAAATAGAAGAAAATTCTCGCACGTTTCTATCCTCTATGAACGGGAACAATTATTGAGTGGGATTCTTTTCATATCAAGCCAATCATCAACAAACTGTATTTACGCACAGGTATTGTGCAGACATCCGCCTCCATTTTGCTGAGGTCAATTCATCAGCTAAATGAAAGAAGAATAAATAAAGAAATAATTGAGGCATAAAAAACGTACGTCATTTGGTAAACGCTCTGTTGTTTAAGTTTAAGAGCACCCTTTGCATTCTGCGTCATTTCAGTAACAAATTACAAACTGAAGCGGGAAGTTAAACGGTAAAATACAGACCTTTTAGATAGCATATAACTCTACGCTGAAACAGGGAAACAGTAGCGTATGCAGAAGAGCGTGAAGGGGGGGGGGAGTCAGAGTGACCGGGGGGCGGTGATTCAGGTCGTCTTATTTTTCCTAATTATTCTCCTCTATTTTCCTAAGAAATCTAACTAAAGAGGCCGACTCGACTGACCAAAAGTATTCTCTAAATGGTCGTTTTAGGGCAGTGACAGAGGTCGGATAATTGCACAAAAGTTGGTTTGAAAAAGTTGCCGGAAAAACTGTTCGGCAAAGTTGTCGCCAAACTTGTTCAAATACTGCACACCGTTGAAAAACTGAAGCAATTCCCTATATTTTCTGCCCAAGTTTACAGCTAATTTCTCCCTGCCTAATTTCGCCACAAATTAGTTCAAATTCATGGTAAGGGTATCGGAAATCCTCAACACGCTGCATCGCGTTTCAAACCGATCACACAGAAATTTGTTTGCGGGTCATTAATTTTTCATCTCATTTCACCACTCTTCTTAATTCAAACTGTTTTTATTAATTTCAAGACTGAGAGAGGAAGCACGAACAAATTTGCTCATTTTGAACCATTTTGAGGAGTTTTTTTCTGGCAATGGTCAATGCGTACTACAAGTATAGATACAAAATCGACTGAGCGCATCCGTTCTATGGTAACTTGAACCTCCTCACGCTGAAATAGAACACGTCTAATGTAGGTTATTTTCATTTCAATAATTTATAAGGTCCTTTGAGGATTAGAATTCCTACCCACTGAAGCCTATATATAAACTTGGTGAGAAAAGTGTCATTAACTTCAAAAAAGTAATTTAAAAACTTCAAAAATGTGTTAGAGCCGCTGATTTATTGTCTTTTTCTGCACCAGATTTGTGTGCATATATTCATACTTTTTCTTGCTTTTGTGTTTTTTTAATCTATAATTTCTTTGTTTTGTTACCAGTGCCAATATTGCTTAACACTGTCATCAAAATATCAATATTTTTATTTTGAAGGAAGAGCGAATGTTTTAAAGCCTCCAGTTTTCCTTCCAATTTCGTTGGAGTGCTCGCGGAGTTCAAGTGATTGTCAATTTTGTAAACTTTTTATCCCACATCTGGTTTGAATTTCTTTAGCCCGATATTGGTAATTTTGGTTGAAATAGCACCAAAAAATACATTCGCGCCAGGAAATTTTTCATCTCATTCAAATTGACTTTTTTTTTCGCCACAAAGTTTGAAAAATACAATAATCACCTCTTTTTTGAAGGGGAGCACGCCAATTATTTTAGCAAGCTCATATTTTAGCGTGAATTTTATCCCTATTTCATAATTTCCAACTTGTGCTGATCTATTTTTTACCATTTGATGTCTGAAAACTTACTGACCTGGTAAGTTCATTCCCAATACACTTCACAATTAGGCAGTCACGTATAACCAGACCAACTGGCGTTTTATTTATAAAAAAGGTGAGATAAAAAGTAGCTATATCTCGTCTCGTATCATCAAACATTGGAAAATGATCAAAGATTTAGTTTTTCTGGACTTAGTTTGACGTGAAAACAAAGGTTTAATTCCATTCTGAATACTTTATCTTTTTTTGCTATTTATCAGAGCATATTTGCAGTTCCCGTTGACGTATCCAATATCAATTCTTCTCCTTTTTGCAGATAAAAGGCGACAGCCGTACTATTCAATTATTTCCTTTCGTCTCGAAATATTACCCAATTTCCTCTTAATTGCTTCATAGTTGAATAGTTACCATTTTACCTAGGAAAAAAGAGCAGTTTTACAACAAAATGGATTTATTTGAGAACGAAAATCCAGACATAAAATTGCATCTTCAGCATTTGGAAAACTCCGATGAAAATATTCTGACCCACCAAAACTTCGACCGGGCGTTGCAAAATGCGTTCACGACAATCAATGTATTTATTCTGATTCTAATCATGATTGCAATGGGAGCAAAAATGAAGTTGAAACATATCAGAAACCACGTGAAGAAACCACTCGGACCTCTTGCGGGATTCGTGTCGCAGTTTGTTATCATGCCTCTCGTTTCATTTCTCGTCGCTCATTTGTTGAAATTGGAGGCTGAGCATGCAATAGGGGCTTTAATAATGGCGTGTTCACCAGGTGGTGTTATGTCTAACATGGTGACTTATTACACAAAAGGAGACTGCTCACTTAGCATAACAATGACTACCCTTTCTACCTTGTTGGCTTTCGGAATGATGCCCTCTAACTTGTGGCTGTATACTCGAAACTGGACCAAAGGTAAAATTTGTACTTCCAAGCATTCGCATTGTTAAAAAAATCAATTTTTGCTTTTGCTAAAGACAGTTTTATAAAAACCGCTAAAGACAATGTTATTTTTGTTCTGTCAAGCTTTCCCGCTAAATTCGCTACTGATTTTATTGTTTTTTAAAACAGAAATTATTTTTCTACCAATTACTTGCAAGCATCAAGTATCATGATTATTAAGTTTCTGTTTATTTTTCAAAAAGTATAATTAATATACACGGTAGCTTTGAAAAAAAAAACAGTGAACTTGTGAACTTTGAGTTGTGACCAGTGAACTTTGTTTCTGCTCAACATTGTGTTCGGAAATTTAGTTTCAGTGGGAAATCGCAATCGCAAAGTTCATTTTCAGTGAAAAAAAAAGCGTTTTTCTGAACTAATTTTGAAAATGTTTGTTTCTATGGTGTTGCAGGCACGACCATGTCCATTCCGTACCACACAATCCTGCTGTCTCTACTCCTCATCCTCATCCCAGTGGCGGCTGGATACTTGTTCGTGATGAAGTACCCCAACATGCGGGGAGTTGTGGCTAAGACTGGCTCCTTCAGTGGCATGCTGGCCATTGTCATCTCCATGATACTCTTCTTCTTCATGAACTACTCCCTCATGCAGATGTCCAGCATAGACATTTGGATAGCCACCGCTACCATGCCCATATTAGGCAAGTCCACTCATCGTAAACATCATAAGAATAGATATATGCATTGAAATGTGGAATTTATGGCTTGTGAGAATCACAAGTGGAATCACAAATTGGATACCTTGTTTGTTATACTTCATTATAACCTTAGACAATTAATCAATTTTTTCGGTGCTGAAACTTATATAAAACTATTTATCCAAGTATTTTGCGAAAACCAGTCCAACGATCATCTTCGTTCTTCTACACGCTCCAGAAAATTCTTCAAACTAACAGATGTTCTTATTAGACTTTGTTCTAGGGTTCTGTTTCGGCTACGCCCTCTCGGCCATGTTCTGTCTCACTCAGAAGCAGAAGAGGACTGTGGGCTTCGAGACAGGCTGTCAGAATGCCTCGATCGCCTTCTCAGTCATCTCCATGTCATTCCCCGCAGACGTCCTTGGTCACGTGCTCCTGGTCCCGCTCCTATTCTGTCTTTTCTCATTCTTCGAGGGCTGGATATTCGTCATCGCATGGCAGGTAAGACTGAAAACTGGATCTTCTTAACAATCCCTACCTGTGGTATCCACCAAAAGAATCTTCACCCTCTCAAGAAAAACATTAAATTTGCACTAGAACTTTCTGCTGAAAATTCTAGTTTGCTGCAATCTGATTGATAGAAAATTTGACTCACTTAATTTAATTACAAATCTGTTCCTTTCTTGAAAGGGGGAGATGGTCTAATAGATCCAAAAAAAAATTGCGTCAGCATCTGCAAGCTCTCAGTTCTGTTTGGGTATAACGCACATGGGCGGATCTAGTTTTTATTGAGGGGGCAGGGATTGGACCTTATCCATTACCCCCTCCACTGTGGTACCTTGTAACGACTTACCACCCCTACAATGAAATGCTTCAACACGACGCAAATATGAATTTTGGGTCTTTCCCATTTCAGTCTTCAGCCAAGTAACAAAAATCATAGCACCCCACATACACACACACACACACACACACACACTCCGACAATGATTTAACTATAATAAAATAAGATATATGTTTTGGCTGGGGGGTTTCATGGGGTGCTTTAATGGAAAAAACTAACATAAAGAGGTAATTGTTAACAAAATCCGGTGTGGTTTCAGAAAAATTATTTGAAAACTTTGTCAACCTTTTTTCGCGTAATTGACCACCAATGATTACAATCGGTTAAATAATTTAGGGAAATTCGAATACTCGTTTCAGTGTCTGCAATGCTTTTACAACACATGTCCACATTCCCATTTCCTTTTTTTACATCGTTTTTGATGCGTATGCTCAACACCGATTCGGACAAAAACCAACTACTTTAAATTGAACAAAAAATTTATACGCTTCTCACTTTATTTTGAAAATAAAATTAGAGAAAAAAGTAGAAAAGCTGATATTTTTGATACCAGATTTGATGTTTTATCAGTTGAAGATAAGTTTGAAATAGGATGAGAAAGAGTGATTTTTTAGAGCTTGACCAAATTTATTCCCTGTCATGACAATGATACTGTATGAGGACAAGCTCACCTTGACCTCTACCTTCAGTTTTATCATAGATTGGCCAGTTTTGGCTGCATTAGAGGTACCACGAATCGTGAAAATTTTAGGGACACTATAACTCAGTCTGGAATATGGAGACATAAAAGAAACGCACCGTCTTTAAACAGTCTGGATAGCCTTTGATTGATCTTCTGCCAATCGGAAGCCAAAATTATTATTATCAATATCATGAAATTTCTGATAAGGACCAAATTTTTTTATAACGATTTGATGATAATGATTATTCTGATTATTAACATGATAATGATTTAAGTTATTATGAGGATTAGCTTGATTCCTGTTATAATTGTTATTAAAAATTCTGAAGGTGATATGGTTAATAATTTATTTATGATGATGACGCATGAATTTTATTAATATTATGATTATTATTATTATTATTATTATCAGGATTAAAATTTATGTTAATAAAATTTTATAATATAAATGGAGAAATTATTATTCTTATTTCTATCAAATAATATTTTAATTGTTTATTTCCTTGTTGCTTTAATGTTTATGCTGTTTTTATGATTGTTATGACCATTGAAAAATGGGAAACGCCATGTATTCGGTTGTTTTACTCTTTTATGTGTTTTTGTTTTCCACGCAAAATCAACTATGCCAAATAGTCATCGGAATAGATTGAATGAAAAATCAATTTAAGCTTTTTCGGACGTGATTGAAAAACTTTAAAATTCTTTCAAGAAACGTTCCAGTGTCCAGAAAAACGGATTGGAAATTTTTGATAGTTCTAACTTCTAGATAGTAACGCGATCGAGTAACCTTCGTAACATAAAAATTAGAACAGAAATTGGCCAGTTAAATAAAAACATTTAATTTTACTTTTAAAAATTTGAGTTTCCTGCCAGTGTCCTGCTTTGTGGAAGCTTAATTCAGCGTTCCTTTAGTTTTGAAAAATTTAATCATATCATTAAAGTGCAAAAAAAAAATTAAAAAGTTTAGAAAATTTTTTAAAACCCTTTAATGTGTTTTTGTTTGTTTTTTAGTTTTGAAGATAACTGTTAGAAATTTTTGCATAATTTGCTAATTTTATACCGGTTTGTATAGTTATCTCATCACATCAGCCCTAAAAAGCACACTAAGTTGATGAAAAAAAGAAGAAGAAAAAACTTGTTCTCGTAGTTTTTTTTTTCTAATGTGGTCGGAACATTATGTGCTACATGCACAGCAACCGGCTATCCTAGTTATAAAAATAGTTTTTATATCACCATTTTGACTACGAAGTGAGATAAAACATTGCTTATAAAAGTTTTCTTTTTTTTCTCACCGCAATATCAGGTAATACAATTGTGACATTAGGTTGAGTGTTTTATACTCAAGAAGTTTTTCCAGTCCTTAATTGAATTTTAATAGAAATTTCTCGAACAAACTCTTTTTGTCAAGAAAGCTATGGTTGGAAATTTTTTTTTAATAAACACTAAGATTATAACCATTGACTTAAAAATGAATTGTGATTTTCGCTGTTTTCCTTGAACATTTGATTTTTCTTTTTTTTTTCGTTTTGTGATTCAGTGTAAAAAAACCAAGTGACAAATAAGCGCTGATTAATATTTCAAATCTTGTTTCATTCATTTTCCCTATATTACAAGAACTACGAAAATGTGAAGCTGCGTTCAATTTCAAAGTTTTGTTCAATAACTCCAGGACAGAAATGTTACTGAAAGTTAAAAAACTGAATTAAAGTTTTTGTGTTTGTTTTGTATTTAATAAAGGTAATACTACAAAATGTACTTCTCTGTTTACTACAAATATAAAATTCTTGTTTTTTTATGTCACCACAAACAACTCTTTGAAAAAAAGTCTTTTCTAAATAAAATTCCAGAATTTTTTGGAAGCCACTGAAAACAGTTTTTCATTTTATGGCCTGCTCAAAAGACATTTTTGTTGGTTCCCATCACTGATGTTGCGGTTAAATTTTTGTTTTTGAATTTTTTTTTGTGATTGTGCATGTAGTCATTGAAAATGGCTCTGCATTGATGTTATCATTTGTTAGGATACTGGCAGGACATCTAATGACACTTTTTAATCAAATGACACCTTATGCGTCTATTGTTATACAGTTGATCATCTTTCGAAGTTAGCCAAAAAATTTACAATCAGATGATATCAATTGTAACAAGGATATCAAGTTTATGCACATTTATCACAGAATATTCCGACCATTTATTAAAAAAAATTCAATTTTCTTTAAATTGAAAAAAAAAATTTGCTTGTAATGAGAGATGTAACCAAACACTTATTGAAATAAATATAATCGTTAACGATTGTTTTCAAAAAAAATAAACAGAGATTGGAAAAAAGTGAAAATATAAAGTTGTTTTGTGAAAATTGTTTTTCAAAAAAAAGTTCTATTACCAAAAAAGCGCTAAATGAAGCTTCAAAAACTGGCTTTCCACTACTTAAACTAAAAACTTTCCATCATAAGACTTAATTGCTCGTTTTACTTACTTGAAACAAGCTTTCAGCTCAAAAGTTTGAAATGTGTTTTTATCTGTCGGCACAGGGAACCCAATTTTTTCAGAAAATTTAAAGTGGTTCGAATCGCGACTGAAACAGCTTTATGGTTGTTTTCCTTGAACATTTTGGATAATTGTTTGTGGTACCTGAAAAAAAGAATCAAAACATACGAAGAAAATTTCACCTCGTTTTTAATAATTGCAACATAATCATGATACTCGTACCGAAAATATTTTTAGGTTTTTTTCTTTTTAGCGTTTTTTTCAATTGAGATTCTTTTCAACTTCCAAACCCCCGTAGTCCCACACACACACGCTATCATATTTTTAGGTGGGAAATTATCTAAAATTAGTTTTTCTACAATATCACATTTAAGCCGTGATAGCCTGTGCAAAAAAGCTACTATGTAACAAGGATTGCTTTTGGGATCTCAGATATTATGTCCGATCAAGCCAAGCGAAAAACTTAGGGCATCATTGTAAAACATAAAAGTTCTGAATCAAAGATTTTTAAATTATTTTTAAAAACCATGGCTGTTATACTTTGAGATATTTTGTTCTAACTTAAGCTCGATTTATTTTTATTTTTCAGTTGAAAATTGCAGTTTTTGAAAAAATTTTCATTAAAGATTTTGTCTGAATAAAAATCCGTCAAAATTGAATGGAGCTGTTTCTTGAAAACTGTTTTTATATATTCCAAAATATCGAATAAACTGATGATTTAAATACTGAATTCTCTGATTACTCAGTCTTGTTATTGTGGCTGGAAGCTTGCCATTTGGTTAGCAGCAGGCGTAAAAAGGAATAGCTTCCACTAACGCGCGTTGATAAAAAAGTATGGCTTGTTGTAAATAGAAACTTTGATTGGCAGCAAGACCTCGATCTAGATCAACACTTTCGACACTCTAAATATTAAAAAAATTTAAAACAAATACGTTTTTAGGAGGGACCAATTTGATTTCAATTACAAAATGGTTAAACAAAAAAAGTTCCCGTCTTGGTTGCAACCAAAAAGGGCAGGTAGCTGCCTATCGATGTCTTCGTTAGCAAACAACATAAGCAACAGCTTGATTTCTGAGTACCAAAAAAACTATAATCGATTTAACAAAACTATTAACCCATACAGATTCAGAATTTAAAAATTTGATTTTTAGACAAAAAGTTCCCACTCAAAACTGTTAATTAAGCATTAGAAATGATAAAACTAAAAACGAACGTGTTTGGCACTTAAAAAAAAATTCTGATTGATATCAATGACTTCAGCATCATCTTAAAAACATAAGTTATTTGTAATCTTCCTTAATGAAGCTATGAGAGTTTGCTTACGGCTGCTGATTCTACTCATTTACAGGCAAGGGTGTAAAGATGGTCTGGATCTGCTCAGTAATTTCTGCAAACTTTTTCCAAGTGGTGAAAATATGCCCACAAGTTTTGGTTGGTAGACTAAATTTACAAATTAATTTTTTATTTATCTAAACTCAAAGAGCAGCCAAT